TCACATTTACATTTTTGTTAATCGGATTGATGTTATTGTTTTATCTTTAAGCTTTTTAGGGATAGTTTAAAATAGCATTCTCTCTAGACTCAGTATTACTCTATATTACTCAAAAGTCTCTTCTGTGTCTACTGAATGTTCTGCTGTGCCGTGACGACTTTCTGTTGTGGCTGGTTGGAACTCCAATATCTCCTGTCTCAAATGCTTGAGGATCCTTGGCTTTCAGTGTCCTGGAAGTAATGTGTTTTGTTGTTTTACATTTACAGCTCAACCAAAGGCTTAAGACGGCTGCTATGCAGAATTCAAGAGCTCATTTTTTAGGTGGCTCACTGTTCACCAACAATCTCCTTAATTCAGCAACTTCAAGCTCATGTCTCTCATTCCATGTCAATGAGAGTATTATGCTCTTTGGGAAAATACCTCAGGCAGAAAGCTAATGATTTAGGGATTATATCATGTTCTTTACTTTAAAGGATCATAATCTGCTTTGTCTGTTATCCAGTTTCTGAAAAAATTACTTCATGTATTTTTCCCAGTTGTTTAGTTCGATAGGAAGGTAAGTGGGGTATGAGTTGCTCTGTTATGACCTAATGTAAAAGTCTACATTTGTATTGCAAATGTTTAGAGATGCTAAAATTGATAAATATCAGCAGTATTTATATCCTGTCCTAAAACTCAAAAATTGAGACCAGCAAATATAGCTCCTATGGAAGTCTGTATTATTGTCATGAATTTTTACTTGTATATTCCATTCATTTGTAGCAATGTGGACCTGACAGCTGTTGTGATCCTCAACGCTGTGTGCTGAAACAAGGATCCCAGTGTGCTACAGGATCATGCTGCCAGAACTGTCGAGTAAGAATTTAAGTTTGATAACATCTTCCAAATATATAAAGAATCATGTTTAGGATATTTTAGAACACTTAGACCTACAACTGTAAGTCAAAATAAATGACTTTTCAAAAAAATATAAAGATAATAAAATGAGAATCAGATTTCTGATTTTGTAAACTTTTGTTGGGGTCTGGGACCTCCTTTTAATACCAATATTCTCAATAACTTGATGCTGGGTTTTTTTTTTGTTTGTTTGTTTTCTTCCAAATTTTATTTTATTTTGTCAAAATACAATGTGGTTGATTATTGTGGCCCATTACCGAAACCTCCCTCCTCCACCCTCTCCCCCCACCCTCCCAACAACCTCCTTTCTGTTCACTTGTTGTATCAACTTCAAGGAATTGTAATTGTTGTGTCTTCTTCCCTCCCTGCCCCAATGTTGTTTGTGTTTTACTTATTTATTTTTAGCTCCCACAAATACGTGCAAACATGTGATATTTCTCTTTCTGTGCCTGATTTGTTTCACTTAATTTAATTCTCTCAAGGTCCGTCCATGTTGTTGCAAATGGCAGTATTTCATTCATTTTTTTAGCTGAGTAGTATTCCATTGTG